AGGAGTGGGGAACTCATGCTGATTCTTTCGCGCGCGAAGGTCCTTTGAGGAAGTAAGGAGCGTTCCCATGACACGCCGAAGAAGTCACAGTAGCTCCGAACACATCGATTTTTGATCGCTTCCCGAATGCCTGGAGGGCTCCAGGCACTCAGGAAATCTTCGATCGTCGAATTTCGAATCTAGATCCATTGCCTGTCTCTCTCGATCGGGGAGCTACTGAATCAAGCGTGGAACCAAGATCGTCGGGTCAGCTTGATGTATTTCGTAGGAGAACGCCGTCTGGTCGTTTTTGGTACCCTTTTGTGCCGTCCTGGGGCACTCTTGGGCCGTCCTGGGGGCTTCTTGGGCCGCCTTGGGGAGCTGGGGCCTTCCAGAGGTCTTCTGAAGCCATCGAGGGCCCTTTTGCGGGCCTCTAGTGGCGTTCTTGGAGGTATCCCATGGTTTTCGTGGGTCTCTCTTGGGAGCCTTCTGGGGGCATCTTGGGCTTCTTGTGGGCAGTCTCGGGGCTCTCTGGGGCAATCTTGGGGCCCCCTTGGGCCGCCATCGAACCCTCTAGGGGGCCTCCCGGGCCGTCTTGGGGCGAGATCGGGGGCCCATTGGGCCGTCTTGGACGCTGCGAATACCCAAGAAGCGGATATGCACAACAAATGTATTTCCTGAGGGAATGTGACGATTTTGGCTTCCTCGGGGCTCTCTTAACGGCCTCTTGGGGTGTCTTGGGGGCCTCTTGGGCCGTCCTCAGACCATCGAGGTTCCTCTTGGAGCGCTCTTGTGCTTTCTTGGGTCTCTCTTGCGCCTCTCCGACGACCCCTCTCATCGCCTTCAGTCGGCTCGCAATGCCCAGCGAGGCGCCCTGGGAGGCCCGGAAGGGCCACCGAACCTTTTCCAAGGGCGTCCAGGGGGCCGCCGAGACGTCCGAAAGGGCGTCCGGAGCCTCCCTTGGAGGAGGATCCGGTTTAGGGGGGGGGTCCGGGGGGGGGGTCCAGGGAATGAAAATATAAGAATAGGAATATAAAAGGTTTCTTTGCGCGCGCGTCGCCCCTGGGGGGGGGTGGCGACGCACACATAGTATTAGTATGTCGGGGTGACGCCCATGAGAGTGGTGCGCGGAATGGCGGTATCACCACCGTGCCTGGGATTGTTGCGTGTTGGTCAGCGTCCTCACGGCTGCCTCTGTTGGGGTATGTGGGGAGGCCGTTCGGGAGCTTCTTGGACGCAGTTTCAGGCCGCTTGCGGGCCGTTCTGGGGTATCTTTTGGGCCTCTTGTCGACATCTTGGGGCCTCTTGGGGGCCTGCTGGTGGTCTCGGGGGCTCTTTTGAGGCGCATGGAGTAACCATTTAGTCCGTGTTTCCCCTACTGGGCAATTCTTGGAACCGTCTTTGGGCCCTCTTGGGCAGTCTTGGGGCCCGTATGGGGACTCTTGGATCGCCTTGGAGCGATCTTTGGGACGTCTTGGAGCGTCGGAGGACCGAAAGGGCGAGAACACGACAATCCTATCTGCCTCTCGTGACTCTCTTGGGGGTGGTCTCAGAGGCCTCTTGGAGGCAACTTGGAGCGTCTTGGAGGCTTGTAGGGCGGTCTGGGGGTCGTAAATTTGGGGCGTCTTGGACCGACCGTTCGGCAACTCGGAGCCCTCTTGTACCCGATGAAAGGCCTCTCGGGGCCCTCTTGGCCCGTCACTGGGCCTTCCAGGGCCCGGACAGGCCGTGCGACAAGAGATGAAAGGCCTCTCGGGGCCCTCTTGGCCCGTCACTGGGCCTTCCAGGGCCCGGACAGGCCGTGCGACAAGAGATGGAGAACCGCGGGAGGGCCGCGAGGAGCCCCCGGAAATCTACGAACCTGAGGGCCGGGCCCCTTCGTTCTTCACTCAGAGCTGAGGACTACCGAGGACCAGATCACATGTATTTGCAAGCGCAGGCGAGCCCCGTGGCGAAAACGCGAGGAGGAGAGGGGAGGGGAGGAGGAGTAGGAGTAGGAGGAGGAGGAGGAGAGGAGGAGGAGGAGGAGGAGGAGGAGGAGGAGGAGGAGGAGGAGGAGGAGGAGGGGGAGGAGGGGGAGGAGGGGAGGAGGGAGGAGGGGAGGAGGAGGAGGAGGCGGAGGAGGAGGAGGAGGAGGAGGAGGAGGAGGAGGAGGAGGGAGGAGGAGGAGGAGGAGGAGGGGGAGGAGAGGGGAGGAGGGGGAGGAGGAGGAGGGAGGAGGAGGAGGAGGAGGAGGAGGAGGAGGAGGAGGAGGAGGAGGAGGAGAGGAGGGAGGAGAGGAGGAGGAGGAGGAGGAGAGGAGGAGAGGAGGGAGGAGGAGGAGGAGGAGGAGGAGGAGAGGAGGAGGAGGAGGAGGAGGAGGAGGAGAGGAGGAGGAGGAGGAGGAGGAGGAGGGGAGGAGGAGGAGGAGGAGGAGGAGGAGGAGGAGGAGGAGGAGGAGGAGGAGGAGGAGGAGGAGGAGGAGGAGGAGGAGGAGGAGGAGGAGGAGGAGGGGAGGAGGAGGAAGGGGAGGAGGGGGAGGAGGGGGAGCTGGAGGGGGAGCTGGAGGAGGAGGAGGATGGAGAGGAGGAGGAGGGGAGGAGGAGGAGGGAGGAGGGGGAGGAGGAGGAGGAGGAGGAGGAGGAGCTGGAGGAGGGAGGAGGAGGAGAGGGAGGAGGAGGAGGAGGGAGGAGGAGGAGGAGGAGGAGGAGGAGGAGGAGGAGGAGGAGGAGGAGGAGGAGTGGGAGGGTGAAACCGGCACAAGGGACCCGAGAACACGCCAGTGCGCGCCTCGCGGCACGGTGGCGGAGGCTCGGGTCTCTTTCCACAGCAGGCGCCCAAGACACGACTGCGCGCGGTGCGCACAGGACGTGCCCGTCTCCGCCGCCCGCTCGTGACATTCCGGCGCTGAGCAACTTACACACTACCGATGCTTAAGAAAACTTAAGTTTTCAGCCAGGGTCTCGATGATTCTTAACGTTTCAGTGTAGATCCGATGATTATGATCGGAGTTCTGGGTTTTTTGTTCAGATTCTGACACTATGAATTTCTTAACCCATGATTCCTTAAGCACATCGCAGGGTGTACGGTTTTTCTGGCCTTGCCGTCGTCGGTCCACAGGTCACTCTTACCCAGGGTCACTCTTGCGTGTAGCCGACTGAGGGGTCGAGCGGGCGCGCCGTCGACCCCTTCATTCCGCCCGCATGCGCATCGGCATGCGGCAGGCGATATTGGGGCTACAGCCAAGACGCTGAAATGAGGGCCGCTTCGGCTTCGGGAGGGGCTCGCGGTCCCTTAGGTCATTCCGTGGTCGCTCCCCTCGCCCTCCTCGTGCACCCAGGCTCTTCTGGTGCCAAAGAGGTGCTAGGTAAGCGCTCCTTCTTTCAGCAGCCCGACGGTCGACGGGTGCGGCCGCGCGGCTGCGGGAGGGCGGCTGCTGCTCCTGGCTAGCAGGTAGGCCCGAAAGCCCATCTTCGAACTGGACCCCCAGGTCGGCTCTGCCTGCCTTGGGGTATGATGGTCGTCTCCTCCTCCCTCACTCCCTGCCTGCGTCTATCGTCTCCCCCTGGTGTTTCTCCTCCTCCTCCTCCTCCTCCTCCTCCTCCTCCTCCTCGTCGGCCGACGTTCGGCGCACAACAGATATACGTGAATACCTTTTCTGGCTGCCTGGGGCCCTGAAAGCTGGGTGTCGCAGGATGGTGTCCGTGGCAAGCTAGACAGCATCAGCAGTGGCGATGTCCCGTTGGCGACGGCGCAGGCCCTCTTCGGGGGATGGCCAGCCGATTCCGCGGGCCCTGGCCTGCCCTGCCCCCGCCGACGATGCCGGGGCACTCTGGGTGCACCGTCGGTGTATACCCCAAGCCCCATCAGAAAACGACTACTGTATGCGTATACACCGAAAAGCGTATACACCAATCACGCCAGATTGGTGTATACACCCCACGCAGTAAGCAATGAGTGTCGGCATGCACCGAAAATGGTATACACCAATCACATGGGCTGGGTTTCGCCGCCAGGGGCGAGGGCGGCTGGGGTCCGCGGAATCCTGCTCATTCCTGGTGGGCGGGTCACTATGAGCTTGCATGTGTGCGCCTGCGCGCACGCAGCCACGCGCGTGGATCCACGCGGCGCGGGTCAGACGATGAGGGTGCCAAATTCTATCGAAGCAGGAAGGGTGTCTGTGTAGTCGTTGTCCCCTCAGGCGTTGCTCTGCAGAGCGCTGCGCTGGGACTTCGAGTGCCAGGCAGTTGCATACGGTGCGTCTCAGAACCCAGCACACCGACGAGTGCACAGAGTCGGCGACAGGCTTTCGATTGGCTGGGGGATCACATTGGGCTCCCAGAGTTCCAATCCAGTCCTCCACCTCGTCCTCCTGCTCCTCCTCCTCCTCCTCCTCCTCCTCCTCCTCCTCCCTCTGCTCTCATGTGCAATTCGCCGAAAATGCGTTAATCTTGTGTTAAGTCTGGGAACTCAGCGCGACGACATGCGCCTATCATTATGCCTGCCTGACGTCACGAGAAAACGAGCCGCCGCTCTCGCCGCGATGCGGTGCTAGAGCGCTGGCGGTAGCTGGATCACCGTGGATTCAAGCTACGTGGGCTCATCCTTCTGGTCTGGTTGTGGCCTCCATGGGGCCTACTCAGTCCATGGGCGACTGCACCTGCCGCGCCCCCCTGTGCAGGCGAGTCTGCTCCAGTCCACACGGGCAGAAGAAGCAGGAGGAGGAAGAGGAGGAGGAGGAGGAGGAGGAGGCGGTCAAAGGGGGAGGAAGAGGAGGAGGAGGAAGAAGAAGAATAATAATAATAATAAGAATAATCATACTATTAAGAAGAAGAAGAATAAGAAGGAGAAGAAGAAGAAGAAGAAGAAGAACAATAAGAGGAGGAGGAGGACGACGACGTCGACGACGAGGACGACGAGGACGGCGATCGAAAGCGATGCCGCGTGCGAGGACGCGTGCGAGTGCGAGTGCGAGGGCGAGTGCGCGGGCGAGGGCGGCGACGAGGACGCCGACGAGGGCGGCGACGTCGACGAGGGCCCAGGCCGACGCCCCCGCCAGCGCGAGCCGCTCCCCCAGCCGGCCGCCTGCCGCGCCGTCGCCGCCCGACGCCCGGCTCGCGGCGCTGAAGGCCGCGGCCGCGCTCTACCAGAGCGCGGGCTCCAGGCCGCCGATCCGCCGCGCTGGGGGGGGCCTCCTGTGAAACAGGGCTAGGATTGGGATAAATCGCTCCAGAGCGTTCCGGAGCGCTCTCAGAGCGTTCCGGAACGCTCTGGAGCGGCCGTGGCGCCCAACACATCCTCCAAACCCGCCGATTCTCAGAGATTTCGAGTTATCCCGATGCGATTTTGTCCCGATCTTCGCGTCGTTTTATCCTGGGCATCGCTCGGACGGGTGCGTTTCTTCTCTCCTCGGGAAGGACCATCGCTCAAGCAGTGGCGAGGCGTCTCGGCGTGCCTATAGGCCTACCAAGCAGTGTTCGATGCACCTCTGGTGGTTTCCACGGAGTGTTCTTGGAACATTTCTGGCTGGGGCTGTCTTCTCTTCACACATCGGGGTTATGTTCTGAGAACACTGCTTCTGTTCTTATGACATTTCTGGGTTCTGTGAACATGTCGTGGTAGGCCTACAGGAACGCCGGGACGGTCGGTCCCTGCTCAACTCGAGGAGCATCTTGGATCATCCTGCGAAAGGTATTTTTTTTTACAGCCGCGGGCGGAAGCGCCAGCGGCGGCGAGTAACGGTCGGGCTGCGGCCGAAACTAATTGGCCGAAAGGCTTGCGCGAGCGCATCAGCCCAACTTGTACCTTGAGCCAAAATGGCTACGGTCGAAAGCGGAAGGTACGCGCGCGACGTCGAAGGATGCACGGGGAGCGGACGCCCTGGCGACGGCCAGCCTAGTACTCGAGGCGGAGCGGCGATATCCGGGCCGCCCGAGTCGGGCGCTCCTTGGCAGGCTCGACGCCTGCTGGCCGCGCGCAGAGGAGGAGGAGGAGGAGGAGGAGGAGGAGGAGGAGGAGGAGGAAGAGGAGGAGGAGGAGGAGGAAGGAGGAGGAGGAGGTCACTCTTACCCAGGGGGGGGTGGATATCATGGCGTGGGCCATGATAGTTCCCCAGATTTCATGGCGCCTCTTCTTATTTCACGACGTCCCTGGCCCCCCCGCTGGGCCGCGCACATGCCGCTGGTCATGATTTGCACCCCCCCCTCTTGGACACCCCCCTCTTGGCCGCTCCCGAAGAGGGGGGCAGGGGGGAGGGGGGGAGAGGCTCCTCGGGAGCACCTTGGGCTTCCTGGAGTCAGGCGATCGCAGACATGGATCCGGGGGGCGCGGATTAGCGACGGGCCCCGTTTCCATGGGAGGTCGTGGATTTCCGCCGCCGAACGAGGCGGCACCGGTCGAATTTTGAGGAGGGCACTTCCCCTGGTCCATGGATTTGGCGACCGCGCGCCAAATCCATGGATCGCTAATCCATGTTTGCGCGCCCCCATAGAAGGCGCAGACCTTGTCTGTAAATGTAGAGCTGGCGCCTTCTAAGAAGGGGCTCCCTTCTCAGGAGCGTTCCCCCCTCCTCTTACCCCCTTGTGCGACTGCGCCGACATTGGCGCGCATACGTCCCGCGTCAGGTCGCGCGTGAGCGCCCTCGTTTTCAAAGTGGCGCTACCGCGCTGGCTGCCCGCGTGAGCCGCGGCGTGAGGTCGCTACGTCATCTTGCGTGAGCCCCGTTCCTCTTCGTCGCCCATCCCTTCCTCGACGGAAGCCGGCGAGAGCAAAACAGCGGCGCGTCCGCTGACAGAAGCTGGCGGAAGGCCGGCGGACGTAGAACATGCGGCCCATACAGAGATGTCAGCCTTTTGGGGCTCCGGCGTTCCAGAGCCGCCCAAATGTGGCCTGAAATTTACTTTTCTTCACGCCGACGTCGCCGACGCATCGGCGATGCGTCGGCGACGTCGGCGGCAATGTGGCGCGGTCCCCCGATCCCATCTACTGTTAAAGGAGCCAGAGGTCATGAGAATGATACGTTCCACATTTCCAAGGTTTCCAGGACTTCCCATAGTTACTCATGTTCCGCACCGGCTGCGCCGCTAGATGCTCCCTGGAAATCCTTGGACGAGTCCTGAGCGAATCTTATCATGACATCACTCTCGCACTATACTCGCCACCATGTAGCGTGGCCCTTCGGTGGACAGGGCAGGGCGCGGTCGTGGACGCAATTGCTGCCTCGCACCGCCCGCTCGTGCGCGTGTCGGGCACCTGACGGATGGCACTCTCCCCCAGTTTTCCTGGATTACCTTTTACCGATCCCAGATCCCCGACCAAATGCATTGTCCAAGTCTGGCGTAGTCCCTGAACTGCGGTCTCTGGGGCACCCTGGACAATCAGAACGGGATGTGGGACGAAAAAGTATCCCCACGGAAAGGGCTGGGACCTCTGGCGCCGCGCATTGAACAACATGTGGTTTCGGATGTCTGGTAGTGTGAGTGCTCTGTACACCATTCACGTGGAACAGTAATTAACCTGAATCATCGCTTGCAATCTTCTTCCGGGCCTCGCATGGTGGGCGCTACGCGGCCTTGCCAGGGCCAGGCCTATCTCCGATCATCCACGTGTCCAGACGAGGGCACGAATATGGAACTGTTCGGCGCTTGTTTATTTCCAGTAGGCCGAAATAGGGACGGACAGAACCGTGACGAAAACGGACAGCAGCTCCAAGCGAAAGTAGGCTGCCCAACAATGGCCGCTGTCGAGTTTGGACAGCATCCGATGTTTGGAATCGTCCCCATTCTTTCCGTCCCCACATCGGGCGTGCAGAAGGTCCTTGCCCAGGAGGGGGGTGGGGAACATTGACTTGGAATCGGACGCTCAGGGTCGACAATACGTTTCCGATATCGAAGCCCAATGTGCCTGGGACGGGTGGGGCACCCCAGCAGCGCTCGGCTATCAACGGGCAACTGCTGGGCGATATGTCCCCCCTGGGCTAATATTCCTTCCTACGTCCGCCCTGATCCTGGGGCCCTCGTCGTTGTCGTCCTTGAAGTTCCCCATGTACTTTAGGGTATGATGTGAAGTTCGTGGCCCTGTTAGGCCCTCTGGGGGCTTATGTTTCATTCGCCGTCTTGCCTCCTGCTCTGCGGATGCACAGCTTTCCCAGTCCCTACTTCGGCTCTTTGTTCAGGGCTGCGTGACGCTAACTCTTCAAACGACACAACGTCAATCAACGCATGCATGCCGTATCAACAGTCTTGGAGTAGTGGGCGAATCCATCCAGAAGCCGCCATTGTCTGCATCCATGGGCTGTTCGTCGCGTTCTTGTCCCAACCATCCTGTGTTGAGTTGGGTCCTCGTTTGAAGAGACAGCGCCTGGCGCCCCGCGCGCCTCTCTCCTCCCTCACTCCTCCTCCCTCCTCCTCCCTGCCCCTGCATTCCGTAGTCCCTGCTTCGGCAGATACTTCACGCGTTTCGCAGCCCACAGGGAGTTTCACCGAAGGCCCCAGTGGCTGGGCTTGCACACCTGGTCCAGACCATGTCGGCGGACCCCTCACAGGCTTCGTGGCCCCATAAGGAGCTCCACCTAAGGCCACGCCATTTTTGCGCACCCCTCACACGCTTCGTGGCTTCATGGGGAGCTCCACCTGAGGCCCGGAGGCTGGGTTCGCGTGCCTTCTCCACACATTCTCGGCGCACCGCTCCCACGTTTCATGGTCCCATATGGAGCTCAACCGAAGGCCCAGTGGTTGGGTTCGCACGCCTTCCACACCGTTTCGGCGCATCTCTCACACGTTCTGTGGCCTCATAGGGAGCCTCACCGAAAGCCCCAGTTGCTGAGATCACATGCCTTCGCTACACCATGTCGGCGCACTCTTCACACTGGCCCCGTAGGAGCTCCACCGAAGGCCCCAGTGGCTTGGGTCGCACGCCTGGTCCACACCATTACGGCGCACCCCTCACACGCATCGTGGCACCATAGGGAGCTCCACCGACGTCCCCAGTCGAATGAATTGCATACGTGGCCGCGCACATGTCGGCACATCTTCTCACACGTTTCGCGGCCGCCTAGGGAGCTTCAACGAACCGTTTCGGCACTCTCCTCACACGCTGCGTGGCCCCATAGGGAGCTCCACCGAAGGCCTCGCCGCCTGCTGGTCCCCAAGGCCGCGCCGACAGACGCGCAGATGAGTCGTAACGGGTTAGATCCAGATGTATCTTGGCATGGCCGTCTTCTGCGACTCCATCAGCAACGTCACTCCGTCTTTCTCACGCACGCCTTAGTGCTTTTGCTAGCCCCCCCCCCTTAGTGTCCACCTGTCTTGTGGCACTCACAGCTGCATATGGTTGAGCCCTTCGCCAGGATAATTTCTCACCCCCCCCTCTGGTACCCTCCCTTCCAAAGGTCCGATCTGTCCACCACCGACGATTTGCCCGAGCACCGTGTGTGCACGACGGTGGGATGCCTCATGATGCCATAGTCGCGACGTGTGTCGGAATAGCCGTGCCCTGTCCCGAAACGGATCGCGCTTCGGGCCGAGGACAACGAGCGTGCAGGAGGAAGATAAGCTTCGGCAGCGGCTCCGAAATGCGGATCTAGCATGCGTTCTAGGATGGACTTGCCTTGTCTGGTAACGGACCACGATTCGGGTCGAGGAGGAGGAGGACGAGGAGGATGAGAAACACGCACGATTATGGGGCACCGCCACGAGGATCCTAATAGCGCCGCATGCATTTTCAGCGCAATTGGTTACATGTGTTCTCAACCACCCTGTTGTGTTGGGTCTTCGTTTTGAAGAGAGAGAGAGAGAGAGAGAGAGAGAGAGAGAGAGCGCGCCCCGCGTCACTCCTTCCTCCTTCCGCTCCTCCTCCCCTTCCTCCCTCCTCCATTCCTTGCCTCTGCCCTCCGCATGTCCGTGCCGGCACACCTCTCACACGCTTTGTGGCCCAATTTGAATCGACTAGGCGTAAGAGTGACCTTTCGCCGGAGTGACCTTTGGTGCGGGCACAGATGGGTCCCCAGATGGCTGGAAACGAAGCAGGAACAGCGGCTTGCGCGCCCAGATTTGGTCCCCCCGCTGCCCCCAAAAAGCCGCGCACCAAAGGTCACTCTTACCCAGAGTCACTCATGCGTGTAGCCGATTGAATCTCCACCAAAGGCCCCAGCGGCAGGGTTCGCACGGCGGACGCGCCCCCAACTCGGCACACCCCTCGCACGCCCCGTGGCCCCGTGGGGAGCACGCCTCGTGGCCCCGCAGGGAGTGCCCCTGCTCTCGTCCCACTTGCCTTGCAGTGCTCACGCCAGCGCATTTTTGGGCCCGTCGCCGGGATCATGCTGAGATGCGCGAGGTTCCGCGCGAGGCTTCCGTGCCACGTAGAATGCTGGCCGTGCCGCGGCCCTCTCCTTCGCCAGACCCTTGCTGCAAGGCTGGCGGCAGCAGCAGCAGAGCCGACCCGGGACGAGCACGTCACGTCCCCGCCGCGACAGGCGCAGGCCGACGTCTGTGCATTGTGTGTGTGTGGGTGTGGCCTTGGTCTGTGTCAGGCGCTCGACAAGATTGCAGGCAAGTCGAATCACCAGCCTTGCGCCGTCACGTAGAAGTCAGGTGGATGGGTCAGCACGGCATACTACGACCAGCGCCGCGAATGTGGAATCACAAGCGCGTCACGCGCCATGCAAACATGTAGTTTTTGCTAACGGGCACTTCAAGGTATGTGCAGGTGCCAAGGTGCGTATACTTCTCGATGGTCATGGAACGTGTTGTGGCTGCGTTGGCTCATGTCGGTCGGTCGGCCAATAGCGTGTATTCACGGTGTGGATCGTCTGGGATTCGTTGCTTGGCTAACGTCCACCACGCACCTTTCCTGGACGCTACAGATTCACTGCATTGAGACAGTGCTTCTGACGAGCAGCGCCAGGCTGTGCTCAATTGAGTACGGCGTGACGTTTACCGTTTTAGGATGAGGTGCAAGTTTTGCATTACCAGACCTGTTAAACTAGTAGGTTGGACATGCGCAACGACGTCCTGGTGCAAAGGGTGTAGACAACTCTCGGCTAACAAGTCTGGCATGCGGCTTCTGCCTATTGTTCATTTTGCATGCGTCGTGTAGGGAGCGAGGGGAATCGGGGTGGAAACGGCGAGATGCATAGGGCATAGGTGATGGAGAGAAAATAAGGGGTGGGCGCAGAATGAGGGCGGGGGGAAGGGGACTGGAGGAGGGGAATCCAGGAGGGGAGGCGGGGATAGGGAAGAAGCGTTGCGATGAGTACCTAGGAAGTGCCACGATAAGATGAGACTGCTCACAAGTTCAAGGATAGGGGGGGCCCCGTTGCTCAGCGCTGTGGGGTATGCAGTCACTCGCATTTTTCTCATGATTCCTCTTGTTGCTACTCGTGTTCGTGATTGCGGTGCATTGACCTCCTTGGCCGAACGTTCGGCGCGATGTTTGCCACATGTGCGGGTGGACACCGTGGCGGAACACTTCACCGGCGCGTTCGGTGCCCAGTGGCCGCAGAATCATGGCGCGCTTGCCGAACAGCCATATGTTTTCAGGTTATGAGTTTCTTTTGCGTGTCGCACAAGACACCGAGCATGCGACATGACGGGCGGTCGAAGAGTGCATGGGGAGGTAAAGTCTCTATTGTGCCGCGAGCTTTCGAGGGCTTTTGCGGCTGGGTTCAGACCGAGGGAGTCGTTTCGGGGCTGCCGAGACGGGGGTCAATTCAAATTTGGTTCAGCCAGAGCGGAGCGGTAGATCTTGCAGGATCCTGCGGAGCCAGGGTTGCATTGACCCAGGCTAGCGTGCAGGATCTTGCAGGATCTTGCAGGATTCTGCAAAGCCTGACTGACCAGTGTTGGGATTGACCCGGGTCAGTAGATCCCCGATCCTTGGGCTCTACTATACGTCGGGGACGAAGCAAACAGCACTGATTCCGACTTGAAGAAGTCGCCGAAGAGGCAGAGCCCAGACCCCCGACGTCGTGTTTTTCGTCGACCCCCAGAGGTTTCGACCTATTCCCCAGGACCGGGTTTTCATCCTGAGTCATTTTTTGACGGTCCCGAGGCCCGGTAAGGGCCCACGGAGTCCGAAAATTATGAAACATCACCCGTCCTGATTTTTTCATTGTTCGAGGGGGCCTGGGGACAAAGCAAGCAGCACCGATTCCGACTTGAAGTGGTCGCCGAAGTGGCAGAGGGCCCCATGCGTTGATTCCGCTGCCCCGGGCAGGCCCACACACCGGGGCAAGCCCACCCTGGGGAAAGAGCTTGTTCTACCGCTCGCTGGCGGTCACTAAACCGGGGGGGGGGTTCATCATGAAAAGGGGGGGGGTCGGTATACCTGTTCGAACCCCCCCTCCCCCTCCCCCTCCCCCCCTCGAGCCGTGGGCCCCTATGGACCTCTCGGGCCCCGTCCCCGGATGCCCTCCCGTGTCCGGCTGCTTCTCCTGGCTCGTCTGCGCCTCTGCTCTCTGGCCCTTGGGGGGCCCGACCCCGGCCCCCCCCCGGGTCTTGAGAGGCTCGGAGGGAGCCTGGCGCCCCTCGCTGCTCCCGCCGCCAGACGTCGAGGGCCGGCTCGCAGCCAGCACCCCGTGCGAGGAACCCAGACCCCCTCGAGCCATGCAAAAATCACGACGGGAGGTGTCTCCATGTTTTTGGCCTCTGGGGGCCCTTACCGGCCCTCGGGGCCGTCAGAGAACGACTCAGGATGAAAAACCGGTCCCGGCGAATAGGTCCGGACCTCTGGGGGTCGCGTCATGAAAAAATCATGACGTCGGGGGTCTGGGACCGGCTCGCAGCCAGCATCCCGTGCGAGGAAGGGAGGGGATAGATTGCAAACCCTGGGAGACTGACATCAGCATTGGCGCTTGTCAATCATGGGCCGCAAACAGGCCCAACCTGGTCCAGTCCAGCTTCAATCGGTGCAGGTTGGTCTGAAATGATACACAATCTTCGGGCAAATCTGGCGCAATAGACTCCTGTAATTATCTTCTTGTCCGATTTCGAATGTTGTCCTTTACCTCGGCCCGCGGGATTCACCCCCCTTTCGCAGGGCTTGCGTTCCATCCAGATTCGGAGCTTGACCGTCCGAAATCCTTTCAACGACCGCCAGAGGCCATAAGTGTCGAAATGTTGGCCGCCACTATTTGGTTCCATCCTCAGTATGGGGTTCTTGTCATTACTAGGACGCCTCCACTTCCCTCCTTCCTTCCCGCCTCCTTCTTCTTCTCACCACACTCAGTTCACTGATACTCAGGCTCACTCACACTCAGGCTCACCCACACTCAGGTCCACAGTTCCTTCGACTTGCTCATACTCGGACTCGCTCATACGCAGACCACTTACACTCAGATCCGTTCATAACCAGCCAAGTTGAATTCATATTCATACACATATACCGCTCACAGCATGATCATTCGAAGTCACAGTATGATCATCGCAACATAGCAGGCGTGACACTTGGGCACCCCAAGGAGGGCCTGCCACGGGGTAGGATACTCGCCCGTTCGCGCCCTGATTGTGGGGATGCCCTCATGTTGCTTGCCCGTTTTGCCAACAGTCTTCTCTGTATTGAAAGCGCCAGGATCACCGCGACATAGCAGGCGTGGCATTCTGGCGCTCCCTGGGGCGCCGTGGGAGGATATGACACTCGCCTGTTCGCGCCCAGGTTGTGGGGATCTCTCAAACGGTTTTCCTGTTTTGCTCCCCAAGGGCCTCTCTCTTGAAGGCCCCATGGTCACCACGGCATAGCATGCATGGTGCTTGAGTGCCCCAAGGGAGAGCCGCCAAGGGGTATTATGGCCCTCGCCCGTTCGCGCCCACCTTGGGGGGTGACCTGGTTTGCTCGTTTTGCTCACAGGCCTTTTCCCTTGGGAGCCCCATGGCCACCGCGACGTAGCGGGCGTGGCGTTTGAGCACTCCAAGGGGGGGGGGGGGGGGGGGGGGGGGGGGGGGCGCCAGGGGCGCCAGTTGGCATGAGTATGACACTTGCTTGCTCGCGCCCAGAGTTAGGGGATATCTCAGCTGGTGTGCGCGTGTTGCCGACCTCCCGAACAGCCCAGCACGTCTCTCTCTTTCTCTGTCGCTCTCTGATCTTGCTTTCTCTCGAAAGATCCATGAGCACTGCGGCATAGCAGGCGTGAAACTTGGGCACCCCAAGGGAGACCAAGGGAGAGCCGCCAGGGAGGGAGGCACTCGCCCGTTCGCGCTCAGGTGCCGGGGATGCCCCAAGCAGTTGGGGTGAGTTTGCCCCCCCAGACCCTTTCTCTTTTGCGAGACCCATGATCGCCGCGACACAGCAGACGTGGCATTCGAGTGCCCCGAGCGGGAGCCGCCAGGGAGAGGAGGGCTTGCCCGTCCGCGCCCCTGCTGCGAGGATGCCTTCGGCGGCTTGCTCGCCCTGTCCTCCCCCCGGCCCTTTGCTTTTGTTGAAGGTCCCGTGATCGCCGCGACGTGCAGTGCCGTTTTTCATACATGCTCCGCGTGCGGATCAAAGTGCAAGGATTTAGTATTCAAAACAACGATGAGTTCATGCATAAGCTCATTCATACATTAATCATGTATTAACATCCTATGTGTTTCAGAATCCGATGTATTAAACATTGCCCTGTAGCAGGCATGGCATAAGGGCTGCCCCACGTGCCTTTTCGCGGCCGGCCCGAGGGACCTCCGGGCGCGGTGCTGATCTAGACAACCCCGACGCCTCTCCTGTTCACAGCCTCGGGGCCATGCCGATGCTGCAGGCATGACATTCGGACACTTCAAAAAGCCTCCAACACTTCTAAAACAACACTTCTAAAACACACGCTACGCTACAAGGCAATACTAAAAGGCTACCAACACTTTAGACACTACAAGGCTACCAGCACTTCTAAAAAATGCATCCAAAAAGCGCTCAATCGCATCAGGGCTGCATGCAAGCTTTTCTCGTCCAGGCATTCCCACACGGGAGCGCCAGCAACTGAGATGCGCATTCGTGGAGCGTTCGGCGAATCTTGTTATCACGGCACTTGGATCTAAGAGTAGCCCATCGCGCGACAATGTCTCATGAGTTCGATCACGTTTACTAGTTGATCACACTTGCTTGTAGCAGCGTTGCCACCTCATGTAGCGCACGATTGCGAATCTACTGTCAAACGATTTGCTGCAGGCAGCTCTGCAGTCATGCTTTTGTTCGCTGCGGCTTCCGTTGTCGCCGAGGCCCAAACCTAGAAGTCTTTCGATTCGTCCCTGGGGAAGTGTCCGTTTCGATCCGACCAGTTTGACTCCTCCTCCTCATCTTCCTCCTCCTCCGCAACTTCCTCCTCCTCCTCCTCCTCACCTCCCCCTCCTCCTCCTCCTCCTCCTCCTCCTCCTCCTCCTCCTCCTCCTCCTCCTCCTCCTCCTCCTCCTCCTCCTCCTCCTCCTCCTCCTCCTCCTCCCCCTCCCCCTCCTCCCCCTCGCGTGAGGCGCCGCCGCACGGGGCGCGGAGCCCG